GGGGAATGACCCTGAATAAGCCAGCTTTTTTAAAATGACCTTAAATTTTGATCACATGAGAAGAGCAATTGATTGTACCTGTCAAAAACCATTTACTGATCAACCCACTCTACAGACTTCGGGTGGCTAATGTGCCCAAGATAATGAAAAGTGTAAGTGTGCATATTGTGAGTAGAATTCATTGTCTGCTAGTCCAGGCCAACCACTCACCTCTCACCTCAACCGGTGGGAAGAACAGACTGCAGGTCAGAAAAGTTGATTGCCTTGTGTTCAAACCTGGCTCTTAGGTAAATTTATATTTTTGGAAGGGTTATTAAGCAGGCAAATTGTAAAGATAAAAATTCCGTTGAGTTGTAATAGGGGGTTCATAGGCGGACATGGTTCTTAAGTGGAGTGTTCCAAGGTGGAGACTACTGCATTACTAAACTATTATTGTTTTCCTGTTTTGGGCTCGGGTGCCTTTTAAAAATTGTTTGTGGGTGGTTGGTGGGTGCTCTGGTGTGGTTTGCTTCTTCTTTCCTATCAAAAACGTCTATCGTCTTTATCTCCCCTCCTTCTTTTTTGTGTTTGTTACTCTCTTGAAACACCTCTAATCTTTGGCACTTAATAACCTTATTGTGTTGCAAGTGCCGTAAAACACTTACTGAAACTAAAACAAAAATTATTTTGTTTTTTTGGAGGGAGGAGGATGTCAAATGTTACTGTTTATTGTTCTGGGCAAATGACCTTTTGGTCTTTCTAACCACAGGCCCCCTATCTCGTCCTCAAGCAAAGAGCAAATCACGGAGGGGGGTGGACGATCAGGAGGTTGTCTGATCACCTTTTTGATGTGTCAAGGGAAACTACTGCAAATATTGTTTATTGTGTGGTTTTCTTTGGTAATTACTCCCCCCCCCATCCCCCCCCATGAACTGACTCTCTCCCAGGCCTGATTAAATTAATAGGTTGTTTTTTTTAGCTTGGCCAGTGGTCGGTTGTTTTGGTAAAGTTAGATCCAGACCTTTTGTAGTTACATAATGTGCAGTGAGAGGGGGGGCGATTTAAAATCATTAAAAAATAATAAATTTTGTGTTCATTTTTTAAATAAAAGTTTAGTTTTAGTAAGAGTTTTACAATACTTGCAGCATAAATAGGTCTTATGAGCTTTGGTTTTGTAAATCACAAGTTTCAATGACCAAATTTTGTACACAGGTAGATTGAAAGCTTATTGCTCCAGCTGTGTTTCACTTTGAAAATGCTTTTTCTCTAGAGCATCACCATGATATTGGACATAACTAGTCAGTGGCAGAAAGAAATGACACCAGTGGCAATGTTGTCACTGGGCTGTCATCATTCGCATATGTCACTGAGGTCAATGTTAAGTGGTCTGATGTGGTATGTTTTGTCTACATCTTTTCTAAAGAGCTATTGTCTTAATGCTGTCCTTGTGAAATGTAGTTATAATCGAAATTTGAAATGTAGCTATAATAGAAATTGTCCAAGACAGCCACCCATTGCTGAGGAGAAAAGTGGCTGTCTTAGATGGGTGGATGTCTGGGATGTTGTGTGCTGTCAGTATATATATATTTTTTTATTCAAGGGGGGAATGGGGAAGTGGTCATTTATACAGGTGATTATCTTGGACAGGTAGTGGTTAGAGCAGGTTCGACTGCACTAGCGTGCTAACTTCCTACAAGTCCCAACAGTGCCAAATGCAGAACATTTTGTAGCCGAATGAGCCATGCTTTTCTTTTTTCACATTACAGTGGTGTTCCCTTCAACACGCCCCAGGTGCGGCCAACCATTGAACAGATTGACCAGTCTTTTGGGGCCACCCATCCAGGAGGTAACAGGGTTTTCATTTGAGGACAATACAGTCCAGCACGTACATAGCGAAACACACACATAACGTATGTGAGGTAGCATGGTGAAATCAGGCGCTCGTCAAAATAACGAATTCAGAAAACAGGCATTTTTCCGGCCATTTGGAAATTTTTATCACATTTTTATTTTTTGGCTTAACCTCATTTATGTCCATGTAAAAACACATTTCCATATGAATTTTACTGAAAAACATTGAATAAAGCACAAAATATACCATTTTTCAGTTTTCAAAAACTTCAGCTGTGGAGTTACCAAACTGTGGCGGCCATGTTTTTGCTAATTTCACCACTGAAACCAGGCAACCTCTCTTCCCTCAGTCGCAAATATTTTGAGTTCTATTCTTGAGAAATGGACATTTCTTTCAAATCAGCTTTCAGATGATACTAATAACTCCACATGCTGAAAAATTGACGAGCACCTGATTCCACCTGGTCATAACAGATATGTATTTTCAGGTTTTAAATTGTTTGCTATATTCGTATATTCTTTGTATTTAAAACACACATACAGGGAAATTCATACTTAACAAAACGATTTCAGCCTCCCTCCGATTTTGCTGTATGCCAGCTAAACTGTGGTTGTAAAGCGTATGGAGCTTTCTACAGAGCTGGATATGGGCTATATATGTGCAAATAATATTATTATTATTATTGTTGTTATTATTATTATTAAAATTATTATTATTATTATTATTATTATTATTATTATTATATAGGGATGTACAAATATGGTATAAATGAACTGACATCCAGTGCATATTTCTGTGAATTGGACAAAGATGACAAATAGTGAGTAGTGGGTATTTGTGGGTATCTTGATTTTGTCTTTTTTTCTTAAATCTTATGTTGATCATTTTTAAAAATCCTGTCCTTCCAGTGTACATTGCAGACAAGAAGCTGTTTGTTCTGAATTTCCGAGGTCTTTCATTTGATTTCTCCATCAATTCCAAATATGAGGTGAGTTCAAGTTGCAATGACTGTGCCTTATTGTGTCAGTTGATGTATCTAGGGTATGGTGTCTTATGCGAAACATCAGGCACAACTACATTGGCAGCTGCCCAAGGGGATCACCCATTGAGGAGGAGAAAATTGGTATCTTAGTGACTTAATTTAAAGAAAAAAAAAATGCAAGTGGGGAAGTGGGAAGTGATTGTCTTGGACTGGTGATCATTAGAGCAGGTTTGACTGTACCTTTAAGCAAGTTGATACGAAGTTAATGTTTGATATCTGCATTGGGTTAAACTGTACAACCTTTGTTTTATAAGTGAACATATTCTGAAACTTTTCTGCTGAGTGTGCGTGTGTGTATGTATGTGTGTGTGTGTGTTCATGCGCTTGAGAGATTAATGACAGCTCTGATTATGGGCTCCTTCTACTTCTTTTCAGTTTGATTAATTTCCTTATCCCATTGTGTGGGTGGTTGGTAGGCACTTTGGTTTGGTTTGCTCCGCCTTTTCTGTCAAATACCCATCGTCCTGATTTCTTCTTCCTCTCTTCTTTGTATGTTTCTCCTCGAAACACTTCTACTGTTCAGCTCTTACACGACCTGTTTGTGTTGCAAGTGCTGTAAAAATCTCACTAAAGCTATAAACTAATCTCTTTGTGGTGAAATGTATCTGCTGTTGTATTTGCATATCGTCCACAGCCTCAACTGCAAACTTCTATGTCTTTAAGGCAGCAGCCCTTCTGCTAGTGATTTTTGCACCAATGCCATGTAGTGGATGATTGAAGTGGTTGGTTTGGAAGGCATCACTAATACTATAATAGGTCCTGCTTCTTTTTTTCCCTTCGTTTTCATCCATGTATTTATTTTTTTCTCTGCTTGTCTCTTATTGTCTGTCATTCTGTTTATGTGTCTCTCTTTACTCTGGAAAACTCAAGCAGACCAGCCTAAAGTTGTCTTTGAACGTCATGCCCTATTACTGTCGTGTAAATTGAGACGGGATAGAAGAAGTTGCGTGGGTGGTTGGCGGGTGCTCTGGTGTGGTTTGCTTCTTCTTTCCTATCAAACGTCTATCGTCCTGATCTCTCCTCCTCCTTCTATTTTGTGTTTTTGTTACTCTCTTGTAACACCTCTAATCTTCGGCACTTATATGACCTTATTGTGTTGCAAGTGCCGTAAAACTCTTACTAAAACTAAAAGAAGAAGTTGCTGCAACAGAAACAAGTCTGACTGATATACTGTTGAAATTGTCCAGGATTGCCATCTATTTTGGAGGAGAAAAGAAGTTGTCTTAAGGAGGTGGGTGTCTTGGACAGTGTCGTAGTATGGAAAAAATGCAAGGGAGGAAGTGGGAAGTGGTCATTTGTTGAGGAGAATGTCTTGGACGGGTGGTTGTTAGAGCTGGTTCACAGATGATTGGAGGGCACCACTGGTAGGTCCTACTTCTTTACTTTCCCTGTATTGTTTCTGTCTTACTTTTTCACAGCACTAAATTACCCATATTGTTTCAATGTTCTTTTCTTTGCTCAACAAACAAACAAACAAACAAACAAACGAAGCAGGTTCCACAGTACTTCTCTTTCACAGCCCAAGTACGCCCATGGCCTGGGCTCCCTTCAGTTCCCCAATGGTATGTCACCGGTTGTGGCTCGCATGTGTATCTATGCTGGGAACAGCCTCACAGATGCCAGGTCAGTAGACACTTCCACTTATATTGCTTTATTTAGACTTGCTATGCTGTGTTCGTATTGATTACCTCATTTCCATTAAAAGTTGCTCAAGTCAAACTTTTTTGCTGTGGTTTTGGAACTGTCTAGGTTTTTAAAAAAAAATGAAATGGGGTCAAAGGAACTCTATATTGCTTTGTTCCTTTCCCCTCAGTAAACAAACTCTCTTGCAAAGTCACATAATATATACATACATATACACATGTGAACGCAGCACACATTACAATTTGTAGATAGTTTCAATATGCCGGAGATAAAATGGAGATCCATTGTTTGTGCTATTAAACAGACTACAAGAATATTTCTTCATATCCTCACCCTTCGCACTTTTTTTTGGGGGTGGGGGGGGGGGGGGGGATGGAGTTAAGTATTAAACCTTATTGATGTCTGTCATGACAAATAAAATCTTGTATTTTATGCGACATGGCGCACCAACAGTGGAATTTTAGGCACAGTGCCGAGCATCTTATCACATCTGGTTATGGAGATCAAGTCCCTGTTACCAGTCTGGTTGGGCTGATTTAATACTTAGAATTTTTCAACTAGATGTATTCTTGTACTCATGGTAATTATATCATCATTTAACATACTCACGATAGTCTAGGCTTACTTACTGCTTACGTATCCCATAATCCACGAGGATCATAGGGGCGCTGTGTCTAGGCTAAGATAGAGAAAAGTGGAGAGTGTTTGTCGGTGGCCTCTAACCTGGTCCAGGGTGAGAAAGGGGAGGATGAAGCTATTACAGAAATTATGAACCTGCAGTTGTGTAATAATGGTTGAAGGATGCCACTGGATGGTCTCACTTTTTTTTTTTTTTTTTTTTTTTTTTCCTCTTTACTAAAACCAAACCTTTTCCTTTCTAACACAGGGCCCCAGCTTTACCCGTTGCATGTTTCTATGGCAACTGTTTCTTGGACTGCCTTGAGGTTCTACGAGACAATAACGTGACCTCTGGCCTCAAGTTCCTTCTAGTCACAGAGGGTTAGTGTGCTGATGTTTTTCTCTTTTTGTGTTTCTGTTAATAATAATAATAAATGACATTTATATAGCGCTCAACCCCGATTAAAGTACACAGGCTCTGAGCGCTTTTCAATACAGTACAACGTACAACAGTAACATAAAAAGGTTGTTTTCTGACTTAAAGAAAATCACTCCAAATATTCATCTTATTAATTTAATTCAGCCAACAAGTACTGGAAAGCAAGCATTGGTGCTTAAATAAACAAAAGAAAATAACCTGACATTCTATAATGCATCAGAATATCAGGTTAATAAATCGTTCACTTGTGCCTCATCTGTTAGGGCGTTTGTGACTGTTGTTGAGTGTGTTGTGTTCAGTTTCTGTCCACCTGTGTATTATTGTCCATCCCTGTCTACTACTCAAGCGAATAGTATGTTTTTTTTATAAAGCCAAGCTTTTTAGTATGGCTCGTTCGTCCTGCTTTATGACAGTTAGTACTGGAATTGTTGTGCTATGCTCTAATTTTACTCGAACTGACGTGTTGTGAAGAGACGCTTTATTTACCTGATTTTCTGCTGCATTATAGAATGTCAGGTTATTTTCTTTTTGTTTATTTAAGCACCAATGCTTTCTTCCCAGTACTTGTGTGGTCATCATATGAATCCCAGCACTGGTCTCATATCAAGAATCAAATTAATATCTTTCCACAACCTAACTTTTGACAGTTTTGTTATGACTTTCATCAGAGAAGTCTGTTTTGCTCTTTTCATGATAAAGTTTGTCAGCAGTACGTTTTTCTTGTTGTTCTGTCTCTCAAAAAGTGAATGAACTGCAGATTTGTCAGAAAATTGTATTTTCAACTAGAGCTACTTAAAGCTATATTTCAATATCTTATATTGTTTACTAATAGAGCTAGATGGTTTACTTGACTATGTTTCTGTAATGGAAATTTGTAGAGCCTGAACCTGTTGTCAAGCTAGAATACTTTTAATCCGTATAAGATACTGAATAGTGTGTATGATGTGCCAACGCACTACCAGAGGGGAACAGTTTTCCACTATGAAGGTTAGTAGCATAAAGTTAGATACACCTTTTGTCGGCTAGACTGGGTATACTTGTTTATTGTAATGTATCTTTTACTTGAGAATTAATACCATATTTGAGGGCTTCAATTTTATTGGGCAGGTGATTGGAGGGCGCCTTTGGTAGATCCCATTTCTTTTCCCTCCCTCCATTATATCTGTCAATCTTACTTTTGCTCTGCGCTAAATGACCATTATACGTGTTGTGTCAATGCACTTCTTTTGTTTCAAACCCAGAGGTCACACAAGTTTAATTGAGCTTTTTATAAATTGATCATCATCTCCAGGCAATGTCCAAGGAAAACTGGTAGACCCTCGCAAGAAGTCTGTGGAGAGGATCGTCAGGTTTGGTGACTCTGTGCAGGTAGGTGATTGTCATGAACCGGTGTCGCAATTTGGGCAAAATTGAATTTTGAAAGTTTTTACAGCTGTCTTTGATCTTTCTTGACTTATGGTTCATTGGTTTTTAGTTTGCTGCACAGGCTTGGGGGATGGGGTTTTTGGCTGTTGCCCGGCATAAATTGTGCTACAGTTTTGTCGCTTTTAAATTTAATTCTTGATGAAAAGTTATGTTCTATTTTGGTCATAAAAGTCACTAAGGGTCAGTTTCTTTTTGAAGGTTTTTTTTTCGTGGAGAACTACTAGTGAGAGACTGTTTATTAGAATGCTCCTTTCCTATATGATCTAAATTGTGTTCCAAGATGATGTAAGGCATCTACAATCAATCGAACTTGCTTACTTCCTCCCATATTTGTTCTCTCCTTCTCTGTATGTGGATGGTTGGTGGGTTCTCTGGTATAGTTTACTCCTTCTTAACTGTCAAACATCTATTGTCCATGTCTCGCTTCCTTCTTTTTAAATTGCTACTCTCTTGTAACACCTCTATTCTTCTACACTTATATAACTTAACACTTTGCCATCATTTTGGGGGGAAAATCCAAAGAAACTGTGTGGTAAACATTGCCAATCGGGGAGATGAGGCAGTAAAGTGTTAACTGTTTTGCAAGTGCCGTAAAATGCTTACTAAAAGTAATACTACATCTCTCTGTGTGCTAGGATGTGGTGAGTGCCTTAGGCTGTCCCAGTCGGATGTTTTACAAGTCGGAGGACAAGATGAAGATCCACTTGCCAGATGCTCACAGACATATCCGAGCTCGCAGTGCAGACTACTTCTTTAACTACTTTACTATGGGTGTGGTAAGTCCTACATCTTACTAAATTGTTTCGATGGGGACGTAAAACACTTACCGTTACTGTTACTTATTTCGCTATCCTCTATATGTTCAAGGTTGTGCTTAAGGCAGTCATCTCTGACATCTGTCGTGCGAAAGCCTTTAAAGCAAAGGGGATTTCAGATTTGTCATTGTTCTTCTTTTCCCTCTCACCTGTTCTTCTCCCGGTTTCTCTCGGTCTTCCTCTTTTCTTTCTGCCCTGTAGGGTCCTCTAGTGAAATTTGGTGTTCAGTGTGCACCTTGAGTAGACGTTGTTTCGTGTCTTTCGTCATTGTACTGGGATGTTGTTTCCCAATCAGCCTCAGTTTGCTCTAATGGTAGGAGTTAAGCAATCCACTACTGAAATGTTCTCAACTTTTTGAGCCCCAGCCCCCCACCCCCATTGATTCTGGTTTTTCCTTGAGTTCCAAGCATGTTATGGAAAAAATAATGATTCTACCCTTTTTTCCACTCAAGCTCGTTCAAAACAGGCTCTGGGCTTTGAGAAAAAAAAACCAACTTTAATGGAAGGATGACTTGTGAGCAAAGAACAGGAATTCATGTTGATTTCAAATAGTTTACACACAAAAACTGTTAGTGTTGTGAACAAAACACATTATGTTTTTTCAACTATTGTCGAAATTGAGACTCAACCCATGAATTTGGGATGGAAAGAGTATTATTCAACATTTATAATCCACCATTCATCACCCCTTACTGTAAGAAGTTTACATCACATCATGATTTATGTCACATGATGAATTATTTTGTTTTAAGGGTTATTCCTGTATCAGTTTGTTGTGTCACATCATTTTTCTTGTTGTCCTCAGGATTTCCTGTTTGACGCAGTAACACACACTGTAAAGAAATTTGTCCTACATACCAACTACCCTGGCGACTACAACTTCAATATGTAAGTGCCAGGACATCATAGGAAGGCCCAGTTACTGCAGTTTGATTTGTATGCACATTTAGCACTTTCCTACATTCCTAGTGGAAATGCACAATACTATATATGTGTAATTTATTATCATTTTTATTATTGTTGTAATTATTATTATTATTTGTTTTGGCTGTGGTATTTTGATTTCTTTATGGAAAAAAATCTGTGACTGGTACTATAGAACTGATTGTATATCGCTTGCTTTCTTCGAAGTTAAATTCCTATTACTAGATGTAGATTGGGTAATTTTAAAAGTGGGTTGTTTTAAGACCATTTGTATTCTACCATTGCCAGTTGGCATTCAGCTATGTCTCAGCTGCTGTAATTGGTCAGCAGGTGCTGCTAGTAGGCCCTGATTCTGCCCAATTGTTGTTAAAAATATTTATAGTGTGGGTATATTGCTGATTTCAACATTGAAAGGTTATTGAAGAGGCATGATCATCACCATCACTGCTTTTCACACCCTTCATCAGGGTATAGGCTGCGAACAAACACTTTCCACCTTTCCCTATCCTTGGCTAGTCTCATGATATTATTCCATGTCTTCCCATTTTCTTGTACACCATTCTCTGTGTCTCTTCTTCAGGTTCCACATGGTTTTCCCCTTGATCTCTTACCCTGTGGGTTTCAATTCAACACTTAATTAAAGAGGCAGGTCCTCCTTAAGGTCCATCTCAAATACAACTTTGCTGAGTAAATTGGGAGTCTGGGAGACTCCCCAAATAATTAATCAGAGCTCGAAAATGACTCTGTGGGTTTTGAACCAGGACCTGCTGTCCTAATATCTGTCTGATATGCCTGTAATTAGTTGGGAGCATGGAAAGCACTCCAAACAATTTGATTAAAAAAACAAACAAGCAGAGGGCAAGTGTGGCGTCAGGGTCAGCAGTATTTCAGGTCCACGTGGTATCCTCCTAACTTCCTGCTGGTGGATCTGTCTAAAGTGTCTTTTTTCCAGCAGAAGCCACAAAAATCTGCGGATGAGGAATCCGAATTGTCTCATGTTTCTACTGTCCTTTGCTTCAGCTACTGCCGCTGTGAGTTCAAGCTGCCCATCACAGTGGAGCCCTCACGTCTCTCGCAGTCTCAGACCTTGATGCTGGAGGACGACCTTCTCGTGATCACAGCATACTCCAAGGTCGGTCATTGCAAACAGATTGACTGCTTAGTGTAAGATTCTGCTATAAGCCATTTTGAAAAGTGACATATGACGGAGTCTTACACTGATCAGTCAAGATGTCATCGGCAAGCTGTTCAAATGTCTAAGAGCCCAAAAAGCAAAATATTTCTTGAGTGAGAAATAATAAATACTTCTTTCATTCTTTTATGTATCATTTCTTGCCTTTTCAACAAGTGCAATATGAATTTTGACAAAATATTTCTTGAACACATGCAAACATGCAACCAATACCACAGATTAGGAAACTGCAATTGAAATTTTGTTTTACAGTATTGGGCTTAGTGCATCTGAACAGCTGGTCGACAGTATCCAAGGATGAGGATGATGCTTTTTTGATAATTGTTTGCTACCTACAAAAGATGTTTTCTTTTTGTTTGGATGGTGCTTTTTAATGAAATTATGAAGCAGATCTGACAGTGAAGGGGTTAAGTGATTCCTTGGCTGTTTTTATTGTTGAGATGACCTTTGACTTTAGTGTTCGTGATAATGGATCCATTTTGTCTCTGTCGGTCGGTATGATGAAATGAGCTTTGTCAATAGGTGGGTACCTAAATGTAGCTCAGAGGCAGATGATACAGTTTTTAATATTTCGTTTTTACTTGAATTTTTCTATTCATGTCTCCTCCAACAAAAACCTGTATTCACAGACCTACAGATGGCGTGCTAGGCTGTGTAACTGGCGTTACGTAACGTCAAGTCAAATTCTTTAGGACATAACTATGATGACATATTTTTTAGAATTTGAACACACAAAATTATTTTAACAGTTTTCTCATTGCTTTACTTTTCAAACATAAGCATGAAGAGCATATAAAATCACAGAAAAAAGAAATTTTGATTGTCTTTGTGTTCACATTTGTGCCATCATAGTTATGTTTGGAAGAAATGAAAAACTTTTCATTTTCATATTTTAATTCATTTTTTGAACATTTTGGCAAACAAAGATTCAGGAGATTCGTTTAGACTCATAAGGCATGCTAATGGTGAAAAAATGCCTGTCAGTTCACATTTCACTATAACTATGCAAAATACCAAATATCTTTCAAACATAACCATGATGACACATAATGGATAAATGCTTTACTTGTCGTCATTTTGGAACTGATCAATTTTCATCAAATTGTCCCCTCTCATTGACATCTAGCCAAGCATGCATGGTCGCATATAGATCTACCACTACTTGACCGTTACAGGGCAGTGCGATGTTAATCATTACTTAGTTTAAATTTAATTAAATGGGGGGCGGGGAAACATTTTTCAGACATAACAGCTTTTTTTCGAACATAACATGTTAAGATTTGATGACGACATAAGAAAACTAAAATGAATTCGTCTCGTTCATCATTATTCTTCTCGCCGTCTTGCATGGAACAACAGTACGCTTTGAATGGATCAACAGGAACAATGCACGTTCGTCCAACCCTATTATTTCTCGTTTTCTGATTGGTTCTTTCGAGCATAACAAATGATGACAGAGTACGAAGCGTTGCAGGATTTCCGTTTACTGCAAAATTACACACGATCACAGCCTCGGAATCAGTAAGGGCAGAGAGTAAACATTGAATGTTATTATGCTCATTCCAGGCCCCAAAATGGCAGATAGAAGCGAAGTCACAGGGAATCGAAGTTGCCTTGGGAAATGGCTACCTGAGTTATGATCGAAAATGGAAATCTAGAAGGCTCACAAAGAAAAAACAGCTACAGAAATCATTATTCCTGATGTAGCTCCACAAATAATGTAGTTATAGTTTTAAAAGAGTAGAAGGATGAGTTTCTCAGAAATTGTTTCATTGTTGAACTTGACGACAGAAAAAGTTAGAGCTCGACGCGTCACGTCTTGCATTCTAAAAATACATAGATTTCAGCACTAAAAATATTTGTAAGTTTTCTTCTGATGGCCCGACTGCTATTTCTCTCTCTGCTCCCGTAGCTGAAACATCATATTAAACACAACATGTTCAAATTTCAAAGCTGTAGCACCATTTTTATTGGAATAGGAAAGGATTTTGTAAGGTATATGAAGAAACCCCGACCTATTGGCAAAGGCTCAAATATGCACACAGAGAACACTCACATAACGAAACAAACACACAGTGAACCGATTTTCAGGTTTGGAATTTTTTTTTTGAACATGTATTTTCTTTGTATTTAAAACACGTACAAAGCAAAATTGATACATTATGAAAAGATTCATGCATCCCGCCAATTTCGTGGTCTGCCTGCATTATTTATTTATTTGTTGATTTTTATTTTTGTCTCACTGGAAGTTTTTTTTAAACCATTTATTGTACTCCCCAGTGGGATGAAGTTCAGAAAGTTTTGATGACCCCAAAGCATCGACCCGTGATCCTCAACCGCTCAGCCTCTACCAATACCAGCAATCCATTCGGCTCAACATTCTGTTATGGTGTTCAGGACTTGATCTTTGAAGTGAGATGGATTTTTAAAATTTTTGCTCTCTCTGTCTCTCTCTCTGTCTGTCTCTGTCTCTCTCTTTCTCTCTTGAATTCCATGTATTGTTCAGATGTTCACGATATAATGAAATACGAGAGCAGCTTTTACCAGAGTGCGCCAGACTTCAGACACCCGAACGGCCAATGTCTAAGCTCAATGGCATATTAGTCTGTTCAGATAAAGTCCATTCTAAAAAGATAATCTCATTCCTAAATTATGTTGTTATACGGACACGTCTGTCCTAGGGAAAAGGTATTCACTCGCATATGTAACTCTGTATCTACTGTAATGTGTACTATTTTATATGTATATATGTATGAAAAAGACAATGGTATTCACTTCTCAGAGTGAAACATGTCCCAATTTCTCTCGCTGCCTCATTCATAGCACTGTGTGGAAGTTCTATTTCTGTTTGCTCTTATGAATGTATGTATGTATGTATGTATGTATGTATGTATGTATGTATGTATGTATGTATGTATGTATGTATGTATGTATGTATGTATGTATGTATGTATGTATGTATGTATGTATGTATGTATGTATGTAATGTATGTATGTATGTATATATGTATTTATGTATGTATGTATGTGTATGTATGTATGTATGTATGTATGTATGCATGTATGCATGTATGCATGTATGCATGTATGCATGTATGCATGTATGCATGTATGCATGTATGCATGTATGCATGTATGCATGCATGCATGTATGTATGTATGTATGTATGTATGTATGTAGGCCTATGTATGTAGGTATGTATGTATGTATGTATGTATGTACGTATGTACGTAAGTATGTGTGTGAGTATGAGTGCGTGTGTGCGTGCGTGCGTGCATGCGTGTATGTGGGCGTGCATGTCCAATTTATGTTTAACATCCGATGTGCTGCACCAATGTATGTAATTGCCGAACCATATGTTAAAATATGTGGATGTATGAGCCAAAGGCCTTTCAAATCAATAAATCATTTTGAATCTTTGAATCTTTGAATCTCTTTCTCTCTCTCTGTCTCTCTCTTTCTCTCTCTCTCTCTCTCTCTCTCTCTCTCTCTCTCTCTCTCTCTCTCTCTCTCTCTCTCTCTCTCTCTCTCTCTCTCTCTCTCTCTCTCTCTGTCTTTCTCACCCCCCCCCCACACACACACACTCACGCGCGCACGCACACGCACACACACACACACACACACACACACACACACACACACATAGTCATCATCGGAGGAGAGTACATTGGTGTATTCCAAAGGATCAATGAGCTTCTTTTTTCCTCAAAGATAGGGTCTTAATAAGTGGGCCCTTTTGTGTCGTCTTCATTTCTATCTGTTCTTGGCAAAAAAATACTTTGTATCTGTGGTGTAATTATTTGGCTCTTTGCTTTCATAGCAAAAGATATGAGTCTGATTCCCGTTTGTAAGTCTTGTTTGATCAAATGCGTCAGTCTTTCTTTTGGGATATGTGACACATCCAGGTGAAATCAGGCTCTCGTTAAAACAATGATATCCTGAACAAGGGCATTTTCTGCCAGTTTGTCAATTTTTATCAAATTTTTGTTTTTTAGCTCATCATCTTTTATGTCCATTTAAAAACAAATTTCTGTGTGAATTGTTCTGAAAAACGTTGAATTAGGGCACAAAAATTTTTTTTTCTTTTTTTCTAGAAACTCTTAGGCTATGGAAATAACCAAACTTTAGCATCCATTTTCTCTCCAATTATTACCTCTGAAACCAAGGGACCCCACCTCCTTCAATTGCAAATATCTCGGCTTTTATTCAAGACAAATTAGTAAAAAAAATTTCATCGAAAGCAAGACAAACAAACAAGATTTAAGACATACCCTTAACTCCATATGCTTAAAAATTGACGAGCACCTGATTCCACCACGTTGTGACACACATTATAATATTATATCCCGTGAGGCAGAAATGAGGAATTGGCTTCCTAACCATGTGGCTTTCTTTATATTGTACTTGTTCACTGTACCCTACTTCTCAACTCAACTTTAATCAACGAACAGAGCCTCTGTTGTTTTGGTCTGTCTGTTTAAAACCTTTTCCCTGCTCCAAATGACCATCACGATAACGAAGTGCTTTTCTTTACTTCAACAACATGGGTGATTGGCGTGTGCTCTGGTGTGGTTTGCGCCTTCTTTCCTATCAAACATCCATCTTCCTTATCTCTCCTTCTTTTTTGTGTTTGATACTCTCTTGTGAGACCTCTAATCTTTGGCTGTTGTGTGACATAAGTGCCGTAAAACTCTGTACAAAAAAACAAACTACTTAAACAGCAGACAGAGGTAACATGTCTTCCTGTTTTTTTTCGTGTCCTTTCAGGTGATGAGAAATCAGCATATAGCATCCGTCACCTTATACCAGTCTCCTTCCTCCCGGGATCCTGCAGCAGTCTCCTCCTCCTGACCTTATCTTTAGTTTTCTTCCCCATTTCTCTCCTTCCTTCCATCCAACCCCACCCCCCCCTTCCCATGTTCACTGGACACAGCAGCACCGCCAGCTTTATTTAGCACATACAGCCATAACTATGGTCTCAGACATTGCAGGAAATTTTTGTGTCCAAAAAGGAGAATAGATTCCTCCACTGCCACATTACCCCTCCCTTTCACAAGTACATACACTATCCTCATCATCCACACACACCAGCCAACATGTACTCGCACACGTACATACACACAAATACACACACACACACTCACGCACACAGACACTGATTTGACATACTGCACAGATGACGCTCAACCTTTTATAGACAGAATAAAGAGGAGCATGATTACATCAAGTTAAATCTAGCAGCAGAATTATATATCTATGTACTGAAGAACTTTACAAGTGTTTGATGTTTGTGATTTGAAATTATTGAGATACCTTAGTTTTGCGGGTTAGAGAGTTTCTAGAAGGATTTTATGTCCATGTAGCGAAGAGAAAAAATGTTTAAAGACGAGTGAAAGGCTGATGTCAGTTGTGTAAATGTTGAGTGTTCGGAGGTTCGGTCTGTACTCTTGGACGCTGAGTCAACCTGTCTTTTCAGCCTCTCAAAAAGAGACTCGAGTTGCTATAAGTGAAGCCTTTACATTGTCATAAATAAAATTTAGATGCATTTTTTTTATTTTGGTTAAGATTATGTACCTATCACTCTTGGAAAATGTTCAGAGCATTTGAATATTTCTCATGAGAACAATATTCTTTGTGATAAAGTGGTTAGATTGGTGGGTGTGCATTTTGTAGCGACTTAGGCTTCATTATGATGATTGGCTGTAAGGCAGACTTGTCAGTACCTGGAGGATTGAAAAGTTTGTGAGCCGTTTGATTCTTTGTTGTTTGGTGCAGAGCTTGGTGTGAAATCACTACAGCCCCGAGCTGTCCCCGTCGTTTTATGCAAGAAAAATTATGAAATTATGCTAACTGAGCCTAATAGTGTGAAATTATGCGATTCTGTTAATTTTAACAAAGAATGATAAAGGAAAATAATAAGAAATTATGCAAAAATGATCAAATTTTGCACAATTATGCGGGATGCATAAAACCACGGGGACAGCCCCGAGTAAGGCTGGCTCGTGTAATTCCATGACTGACCGCTGGAGCAGCTTCTGGCCTGGACAGGCTGGAGGTTGAAAGGTTCCTCTTTGGTGTGACAGTCATCTAATAGTGCAGATGGATCTTTTAATTCGACTCAATGCTTTTGTACCATAACATTCTTATGGTGCTTACAGCAGATACGCACTGTAGTCCTGTTAGCCACAAGGCATGTTGTATTTTTTTGTTATCTACGTCTAAAGTCTTAGCAAAGCCCAAGTTAAAGTCTCAGTAAAGCCTTCTTTAAATATCACCATTACAGCGGACATATTTTCTGGTATAAGAAGTGTATATTGCACCAAAATTTTACTTCTTTGTATTTTCAAGATGCATCTCTCAACTTTTAGCACTTGCGATTTATTCCATCCTGTTGTGTATGATATTATCAATGTGACACTGAGCTCGTGCTGGGCTCTGTGGTTTTAATATCTTTTGGTAGTTGTAGAAGTGAGCGGCCTCTGAGTGAGTGTAGAGTTGGTGCTGAAAAAAAGGTGGATTCCAGGCACCTGTTTCGTATGCATTTGTGTGTATGTGTGTGTGTGTTTGTGTGAACGCTCCTGCCCAGGGTTTTGTTGTCATTGTCAAGCTAAAAATTTGGAGATTTCTCAATCCCTTTCAGTTTGTTCAAATTTGGGATACATGTATGTGCACTTTCCTATTTTTCAGAGGTAGATGACATGGGCACAGTTAACTTTATTTATAAGACATTTGTGTCTTTGAATTCAGAGGTCGCTCTCTATTCACAAGTCGCGTCTGGGCAGCAAATTTGTGTGGGTTTTTTCTTTCCTCCTCTCTTCAGGAAAAACCAGTAGGTCAGAAGGTGCAATGAGTTAATTTCAATGATGTCTGTTAGTTGATCAGGCTGGTTCCTTTGCCATCATACTTGTTGATGGACTGGAAAACATAAAGAATTGTCTCAGGGTAAAGTGGATATACTGTGTGCGCTAGAGGAAAAAGTCAGCACTGTGTACATCTTAGTCTCCAGAAGTTTCTTTCACCAATGTGATGGTGAATTCTATTCTTATTTAGCTGTTGTCAGCAGTATATTTGCTTTTTTTTGTACCTTCTGACCTTTTCTTTTTCCATGCCTTCCCCCCCTTCGCTCCCCAATGCCTCACCTTTGCTCTTCACCTACCCTCTCCAAATCAATGTTGGACAACATTTTTACCACTTTGGTAGTTCTCCCCCTTCACCCTAACCACATTGATGAATCTGTCGAGAGTTGAGGCTGAATGTTATGCCAGTGCTGAATGTGAACTTTGAAATGTGAACTTTATGCTTGGGGGTTGGACTCGATGTTTGAACAAATGCCTTATTTTGTTATTAGCTCTGGGTATTTTTTCTCAGCTTTGCTTGACCTACATTTTCATGGGAGTTTCTTTTTTTTTGCTCTATGTAGGTTCTTTTGGCGTGTTTTATAAGCGACTCCCCTATGTTTTGAAAACTTTGCCTTTTGTAAAAATGATCAAATTTAATGTGTACAGAAAGATGTTATGAGTTGTTCAATTTGTTTCCTTTCTAAAGTTTGGATAATGTGAATACCTGCAAGGTTTTCATCCATCTTTCCTCCCTACCCTTTATCTCATCCCAGCCTCCCTCCTCCCGCCCCATTCCCTCTCATCATTGTCTTTCTTTCCATTCTCTTCCTTCTCTTCTTTCCGCCTCACGCTTTTTCTCTCCTGCATGTAAGTTTTATGTTTTTCTGTGACTTCAACAGGGAAAGCTTTTTGAGTTTGTCGTCAGTACCGTCTCATGTGTTTGCGAGTTCTCTTCTGAATACATCAGGAAGAATTTCTACTCAATTTCTGTGTAGGAGAGGAGAGAAAATAAGGTATAGTTGCAAATAGCAAGCGCAAACCATACTTTGTTGTTGTTGTTTCTTTAAGGTTGTTACCGAAGGGATGCAAGTCTGGGCCTGTGTTCAGATATATATTGTTCTGTTTTGTTTTGTTTTGTTATTGCACCTGTCGAGAGGCCTTGCCGAGGGCACTTGATTGCTCGAAGGAATTTGCCACAAGTCAGAAGAGAATCTGTGATTTGTTTAAAGTAAACTTCTGACGCGGGGCTGTCTTTTTGGTCTTGAAGGTGCTTAGTTTGTAGAAAAATTGTCCGGCTCTCTTATCTATAAACATTTACGCTATGTACTTTAGCTTCTCCTGAGATTTCTCTATTTTGTCATGACCAGAAAATAGAGGAGATATTGTTTTTAATGTAGCATATGAGGGATTCTCATTCTGTAGTTGGGATCATGTGATGATTCGAACCAGCAGTTTCCTGTTTCTTTTCATCCCTGTGGGAATATAAGGCACAGTACAAATGTGAACCAACTCGCATTAATAGCGAAAGCAGAAAGATTGTATTTAACTTTCACCATAAACGTGATGGAAATCAGGCATATTTTCGTACTAGATCTAGTCTCAAATGTGCTGTATTGATGTAAAGTAACCAGCATGCATGACAAAACTAGCATTATTTAACTTTAACTTTGGAAGTCAGGCTCTTTGGTTCTAGTCTCATTACCATAGTACTGCTGGACAGACACAGAAAAGAAGACGACCATCACTTTCATGTCCGATGTCTGTGGTCGAAAGTGTTTTTACATGTCTGAATGTGGTAGATCTGGGGATTTCTCTTCTTTTTGAGTGTGTGGACATTTTCTTTCTATATTGTTGTTCTGTTGTTCAGGTGGAGAAATAGTTACATATTCCTCAGTAATGCCATAATTTTCTTTGTTTTCTGTGAGTATATCTTGTCTTATTAGACATTAACCAATTATATTGATAATATTAATGAGTGTTTTCAGGGCATTAATTTGTGTGTTACAGGTCAATTTGGTTGTCTTTAACTCTATTACACTGATGATTATGAGAGACAGACTCTAGACAATGCTTTGAATTTACATATCTGCTGTACCAGTTTCCACGTTATGATGACGAGGCCCCTGTGTCTGTGTTCTGTTTCCATGCAGCACCATGTACTTCATGAATAATTAATGTATTACGTCTTGCTATCGTTCAGATTGAGGCTGAATTCGCTGAGACTGAAGTGGGAAGGACTGCCAGAAGTACGGTGATATAAATGTAGAGATTGAGATTTGGGGGAGGGGAGAGAGGTAGTTATAAGTTTAGTCTTTTCCCTTTGGAGTTGTCCATATAAAGTGAGAAATTATCAAATCATTATTGAAGTTGGACTTTTAGAGATGATTTCAGTTGTGTGCTTTTCAGTGACTTGAGCCTCACCTTGAACGGCCACACCTCTAGGTGCAAAGCACTAGTCTCTATATTTGTTGTATGATGCTCTGCAGTGGTACTTTGGGGTTTCAAAGTACTAGTCTATGCATTTGTACTATGATACACTGCAGTGGTACTTTGAGGTGACTGATATACATTGACAGTGGAAGCCAATGTTTTTGCCATACTTAGGTGGTACGCCCACTATAATTTTTTGCATGTTCCAGGCAATGATTTTTCGGGACGTCATCACCCGAATGACAGGCACGAAAAAGGATGCGCGTCCATTTGCCGCTTGCTGAAGGCAGGCAAAATCTCGAGTCTGTGGTTTGACGCTACTTACAGCTGAAGTTATTGCCTCAATTGCTTTTAAGAACAGCTCAAATGTATGGAATCTAATGTAAAACAATTATTTGTAGCGAATATTAGATGAAATTGGGACCAAAAATATACTTACGGTTCAAAATTATTCTTTTTTTGGGGGGGGGTGAATCGAGGAGCGGCTGCAGATTTCACGCAAGGCAAAAGATCCTGCATGTACGAAAATCATGTTGCTCGATAAACTTTGCCTGATGCAAGCAAAATATCTAATTTGCATACAATGCTTTGCCTGGAGTCGGCAAAAAATAACAAGTGGGCACAAGGCCTTATGATGGAAAACATGAGTGAAAAGTTTTGGTCGTTGGATTAGAATTTATGATATAAAGATGAGGAGAAAGTGAGCTGTGGCTTAGACTAGAAGGCAACTGATCGGAGAGCAAGTGTTTGAGGTAGCTTTCCTTGCATCCCAACAATATATGTGGCTGTGTTTAATCCTTTCCCTACAAAATATGTCATCTGGCAATGAGTTGTGGCTTTAGGGTCGAGGTTACTGAGAGGTTGAACCCCCCCCCCCCCCCCCCCCCAGATAAATGCTGATTCTCAATGTATATTGTTTCTTTTTAAACAAACTTCTCATGTTCACTAAAGCTGGTGTCAACTTGTACATGTTCCCTCCAGTAACAAAAAGAAAGCAGTTATATGGAAAACTTAGTCAAACTCTGTTGGCACGGAAGTATATTTTCAGCTATGTCTAAGCTTAAGAGATTGTCGCCTGCACTCTCTCCCCTCCCCCCGTCCCAACCCCACACACACTTTAAAGCTTGACAACAAAGCTTATAGCCTGATGCAGCCAGTTTAAGGGTTAACCTGTAGTCTTTACGACCATTATCTTCAAATATTTTATGAGGATATTTCTTTCACACATTTTGAGGCCTTACCCTCTATTCTAAATCAAGAATTCTGGTCAGAGCATTTTCATTAGCATCCAAAGGATTTGTCCTCTCTTTTATAACATTTTGATTCAGTTGTAGTTTAAGGATGTTACTTAGAATGTTTTAAACTGTAAATACCCAATTTCCAGCTTCTTAGTTATGGGTACAAATCTAAGGGGTGACCTAAAAAAAATTTTTCCGAGCAATTCAGAAAAATTCTCAGGAGATCTCAAATATGGGCCTAACTTGTTTTAATTTTCACTTTCCAACTTTTTGCTGTGAGTACTTTTCAGTTTCTGATGAAAATGAGTACCTCTTGTGAGCTTCTCCCTCTCTAGAATGTTGTTATAACACTAATAGATAGATGCTTAATAAGCAGTACTTAAGCAAAGTTGAAATGGTCATAGTTATCAGGGACCATGAACGTATAAATAGTCCACCAAAGATGCTGTACACCAGAGAGTGTCTGCATCAAACTTCATGTCATGTACTCATGCAGTTAGTTACCAATGCTTGCAACTTTCTATCTGAAATACATCTTATTTCTTTTCCTCAAGTACATTTTATCTCATGGAATGTTGCTAAATAGCCTACAGCATGGACATTATGAGTCATGTGATTGTTTCTTTTTTTTTTTTTTTTAAGGAATTTTGTTTTAAAAGTTAGTTTTGTTTGAGAAAGAAATTAGTTAACAGTGAGAAAGATGAAAAATGGCACTATAAGTTACTATTACTATACTTTGACCATTAGGCTCACCAGGTACTATCAGCATTGTGAAAGAATGGAAGAGTTGCTTTTCTCATACCAATTTTATAAGAGCTGACTGCCTGTGTAAGCACAGTGGTCCCTTTGAGCTGAGGTATTGGTCCCTTTGAGCTGAGGTATCCTTAAATGTGCAGCAAAGAGTTTCATTTATAGAGGAATGATTTTGTCCGAGAGGATAGATCGGTATATATATAGGCAAATTGGTCAGTCACAATTATAGTAGTCATCTCTGGATGGGAGTTGTAACTACGTTGGATGAAGTGATTATTGATTCAAATACCGAGAGTGAAATAAATGTAGAATGATTTATTTTGTCATTGTGAAAAGACGTGGTGAAATAAATGTACAATGATTTATTTTGTCATTGTGGAAAGACGTAGTGAAATAAATGTAGAATGATTTATTTTGTCATTGTGAATAGACGTGGTGAAATAAATGTAGAATGATTTATTTTGTCATTGTGAAAAGACGTGATATCTCAGCAGGTATAGGGGCAAATATAGAGATATATATAAAAGTTTTATCTGACTGGTGCGTACGAGGATGAATGTTTTATTGTTCATTCTCATTCCTTGCCTCATGATCTGTATGACTTGTTCACAAATATACTTCTAGTAACCTGTGTATTCATGTAACTCATCACATCATGAATGTACTCTTTCGTGAGGGAAAAAGGAACAGAATGAAACAATGTGTATACTTCTTGTCCTTGTGTTATAGTACATTTATGTGCTTGTCTTGTAACGCCACACATCTTACATAAGCAGTAAGTGTTCAGGGTATTGCTGTCACCTCCTAGTTTGCTGGATGTTTGGGTTTTTTGTTTTTTTTTCACTCTTGAGCATAAATAGAGGGGGCCAAGGCATTCCTCATCTCAGACAATGTACACATGATGTATGTTTATTTATTCCTACTCTTTATCAATTTATGATCTCTTGCATAAAACCCCATTATCAACATCTGGGATCTCTTGCATAAAACCCCATTATCAACATCTGGGATCTCTTGCATAAAACCCCATTATCAACATCTGGGATCTCTTGCATAAACCTCGTTCTGCCATCTCATCCCGTTTCTTTGTTTGTCTCCTTTTCTTTTTTTCTTTATGGTTTAACCCTTTGTGGGTATTTCCCTATTGAGTTGTTCATTTGCTTCCTGGCATAGTTCCATGTCTTGTTTCTTTTTGTCGGAGCATGATACACGAGTGCGTCGTCACCATTTCCTAATCTGTCCTCGACAACACGCTAGTAGTCAACAAATTCCAGTTTGCTTCTGCTCTTTATAGCGTCTTTTGGAACGTGGTAAATATTATCTGTACTGAAATCAAGTGCACTTTTTCGACATTCATACCACCCCATTGCTTTTGTCTCATCACACACTGACTCACTTATGTACATTCTAGCGATAAATGCAAGAATTCCTTATGAAATTTCCGTTTGTGATTGACATGGGGTAGTTAATTACTGTTGTGAAAAATTAAGAGCTCTTCGCTGTTGTCCATATGTTTGCAAGCCATAATTTTGTTCATAGTATAGAATCTTCATTTGTGGGGATGTACCAAAACTGTGGGATTGAAGTCTCAGTTCCCTAAACTGTTATTAATGATATTCTGTAGGAGTGAAATTTATAATGGAACCCTTAAGAGATGTGGGAACATGGATGTAGGCGTAAAATAGGTGGTATTGATAAGAGTTTTAAGAGATTTGGACTTTTGAGACCTTGTTTTATTTATTTTTTTCACCATATCAGCAATACACACAGGCCTCTGTGGAGCAGCGGTTAAGCGCTCTGTCATAGCAAGCAGAAGCCCTGAGTTCAATTCCTGTGTGTGGAGAATTCTTTTTATCAAGTGTCTCAGTGTTTCTGTTGGGATGTTGTATCGCTCTTAGCCCAGGTTGATGCCCACTTTGTAAATGATCTAAATTGTGTTGATGGGGGCATAAAACATCTACATTGGAAGAAAAAAAAAAAGCAATACTCATATGCAGCCTCTGCATAACCCCTTCACTTGTAAGCTCTCCCGCTAATGAATTAATTGTGTTTTCACCTTCAGTGATATGCTTTCATCTAGAGTTAAGAGGCAGTTTAGTGATAATTTTTCAATTTATAACACATTCAACATTTCCTTGCAGCTCAGTTTTTACATTTTTGAAAGCTAGCTTCCTATGATGAACATTCCTGCCAGTGACAGAAGAGAGTAGAATGTTTTAGCAACACTCATCCTGCTTTTGTCATGATAGCATATGGATGATGCAGGGTGCAAATCGCGCAAGTCTGATATTTGTCTATTTATTATTTTATCTTTTAGCACAATGTCATAAGGCGGAAAAATATCTAGCTGAAACAAAGACTTCATATCCCTTAAATGTGAATTCAAAATCTGGTAGCTAAGCATTCGGTTTTATCTAACAACTTACAGTTTTTCGCTCCTTTTGAAAAAAATTAAATGTAGCCCTCGTGGATTTGGCATTTGTATATTCAGTACGATTGACTTTTAAATAAAAGCAATGTGTATCACTACAGTTGTCCATATCTCAAGTCGTGATTTCTGAAGCCCTTGAACTTTCTCATCCAAAATTCCAACTATTTATCCAGCTCTACCTCTTCCTCACTCTCCTTTTGTTGTGAGATATCGGTCAGAAGTAAGCTGCGAGTGGTTGGAGGGCACCACTGGTGGGTCCAGCTGGACTTTTGCTCTGCTTTGTCTGACAATCCAGTTTTGTATTCTCCTACTTGCACTTAAATGACATCGTGTCTTTGTGCTTTTCTGTTCTCAAACAAAAGAAAACTGAGAAAAATATGCGAAGAGAGAATCCTTTGAGGAGAAAACTTTTCTGCTGGACATAAATATATTTTTACATGTTAAAGAGGAGAGTGGTTGCCTCAGCCTTTGCAAACTTGCAGAATTTTCTTCTTTTATGTTCTATTATTCTCTTTCAGATTTGTATGGCATCATGATAGAAGCAGGTGCTCGTCAACATATTGAATGTGAAGAAGACAACACTTTTCCGACCATCGGGCAATTTTAATCCAATTTTTGTTTTGGGCTTAACCCCTTTTACATCAATTGAAAAATAAGGTCCTGTGTTGGTTTTACGTCAAAGGTACAAAAAAAAGTAATTTTGCATTATCCAAGGACACCACATATTATATGGAAGTCACTAAACTTTCGCAGCCACTTTCTCTGTAATTTTACCTCTGACAGCTAGTGGCCCCCACCTTCTTCAATCGCAAATATCTCAATTCCTATTCAAGATAGATTGGTATTTTGTTCATCAAAAGAAAGACAAATGAAAAAGCTATACTATAAGAGGAGATCAATAAATCTCTATGTCCCAGAACTGACGAGTGCCTGATTCCACCATTTCCCGACACATTTGTTTTTGGTTGGTGTTTTCTGCATCTTCACGCGTAAATCCAACAACCACAAAACTATCATTTCCTTGTGCCTCATTGCCTGCCTCAGCATTTTGCTTTCGCACTCAATATCATTGTTGAAAGGAAACCATTTTCTTACTTGTATTTGGCATAAATCATGTACACTGTGTAATGTTATATATATTATATATATATACATATATATTTTCTATAATGCTCTGCCAATAAGTGGGAGGTTTGTACTATGGTTAACTTTTCATTCATATTTTCCTCTACCTTTATTATGGGACAGTGCTAATTCTTGTGATATAGCAATGAACACGAGATATTTTGTCTTGCATTACATGTCCAAGTTTCTCTAGACGTAGAAGAATATGATTTGTGGGTAGCTTGACTTGTAGCTGAACCTTACTATTTTTTCATACAATTACATTTTACTTTAATGATTTTGATTTCTGAGCGTTGGAAAAGAAACTGTGATACATACCAGGATACAGAACTTGTTTATTTCATTAGTTATTTTGAGACTGTCCACATGTGGAGATTGAATTGGCTGCCTGCAGAAGGTGGAAAGACAACATTGTGTGTTTGTTTGTGTGCGCTATTTGTTTGTCTGCCAGTATGTTCGACGATTTGTTTTCTTGCTTATATTTTTTCCCCTTCAGAAGCAAACTTTTGCTCTGCTCCCATCAGCATGAAGAAAATAAAGAGTTAAAGTGTATCCACCTTTCTCCGTTTCCATCAGAGTTGTGGCTTTCTGTCTCGATTTGTGCTTCTGTTTTAGTCCATTTTACATTTGTGAGGTGTGCTGACAAAATGAGTTACTTTTCGCTGTCCAAGAATGGAGATATCGGCCGAAAATCGACACTGCCGTCAGATTTATGGATTTCTAATTGATGCTATTTTGTTCAAGTTTACTGAGTCTTCTATTCTTCCATACTTACAAATTGTACAAACTGGACCTATAAAGTTGATGTATCAATTTCCATAAGGCTAAAATCGGAGAAGTAACTCATTTTGTCAGCGCACCACACATTTCATCTGAAGCAAGAGACATGTTAATATTATACGAGGGTGGGCTAAAAAGCGATACCTCCTGTAGTGCATTCATTGCATCATTGCAGAATAATGAAAACTGCTACAAGTACATGTACTTCCTAATCATTCTGATATCACCACAGAAAATGTAAGTTCTTTGTGACATAATACACTCTCAAATTTGCATGTGTCTCAACAAGTGATAGGGTACTTTGGTAAGAATTAAAATGGCGACCTCCAAAGACTTTTGCTTCAAGCAATTTGCTCCGATTGAATTTCTTACAGCCAAAGGCTGTTCAGCAGCAAACATTTATAAAAGTTTGATATCTATTTATAGTGAATTTTGTCCACCAAACTAGACACCCCACAACTGTAAGTCGTTGTTTTTGTAGGAGTTTTAAGACGCTCGCAACTGCATAAGGTCATATGAGCACGCGATACACATGTTGGATGCATTCGCAACAGTTCACTGCACGGCTGGGCTCGGGTCAACTATCAGATTTTAAAATGTTAAAATTTTGAGGTAAATAAGTCAAATAACATTAGAAATTTTTATAACAATTTTATTTACAATTTGCCATAAAGGCCAATAAAATCTAGGATTCTTTTGGGATCAATGACGGAAAAACAGATCTTGCAATTTTTTGCATCTAAAATATTTCCTTCAGGTCTCTCCAAAATCTAATGGTAAAATCTGTGTCGCATCCGACACAGAACGGCTTCTCATCTCCCTGAAGGAGGTATTTATGTGTTAGGACAGTGTGTCCGATGCGTAATCAAGTAAAAATGACTTCGTCTCTTCTGGAGAGGCCCGACGGTTTTCGCGGACCCAGTTTGGGCATGATGTTGTGGAGTTTGTAGTTAATTTGATTTCTCCTGAGAGCCTCCCACAGATTGGGCTGCAAGTCGTCCATCTCTTTGGAAGCAGGTAGTTGAAATGGAGCACCAGTTTTTACCATAAGAATCCATGAAAATTCATTTGAATGTGCCCACCAAAGTGACATGACACCTACTGACAAAAGACAGGTCGGTTAGAATGCCACATGCGGCATTTTAGTCAAGCCGTGTGGTGACCCATCAGCTGCCCAACCGGAGCTAGTAAAAAATTTCCAAGTTTCGATTTAGATGAAGAATCCAATGTTGTATTATCAGGGCCTCAAAAGGAGCAGTCTGCGCCCAAACTACCTTTTGGTGTGTCGTGTGTACAAAAAGTGTCGAAAATAGAATATGTTCAAACAAGCATTACTTTTCGATCTTGTCTGATAGTGTTTGAGCTTGTGAAATCTGCAGCTTGCACTATATGCTTCACCAGACTCAGAGAATGTTTCTGAAATGCTCTCAGAGGGTCTGCTAGGATAATAATAGTTGAAAAGCACATAGAGCATGGATATGCGCAATAAAAATGCAATTATCATTTATATTATTATTTCAGTCCAGCGCCGTACCTCGTGGCATTGGCGTGGCATGATGTGGTCTGCCTCTTCCTTTCCGGTCATCCTTACTTTACTATTCTCTGGAGAGTAGTCGATAGATGCTCTGGTGTGGCAAGCTCCTTCTTTTTAGAGCGGTTATTCAATTATCCTGTTTTTTAGTTTTAGTACAGGTTTTACGGCACTCGCAACTGCATAAGGTCATATGAGCGCCAAGGGGTGGATGTCAACAGAGAAGTCCTTACTGGGAATCAGACTTACTCTGCTCACCTCTCTAGCTTCAACAGCACAAAGTCTGCTTCGACTATCAAGGCACCCCAGAAATAGCGGATCACTAGAGTGTGATAAACATACAAAAGAAGTAAAGGAAAATGACGATACCGGTAGTAAGGATAAGAAAGAAAAAGCAGTTCCCTGTTGTAGTTCAGGCACAGTTATGAGCATGACATTGTTAGATCATTATCCCGTTTGGATCCCTATCACTATCAGGGGAGGTTGGGGAAGGGGAGGTCTGGTGAGAACACTGATCTAGCATAACTGATCTATGGAAAAATGAACTGGCAAATACACCAGCACTGGCATGAACGTGCTCTGTAAAAAGATAAAACGAGTCATTATTATTCTTGAGATGCTGTTCATGAAGAGACAGAACACTAATGAGACAAAGTTGAAGCTGCCTGCCTCCGTCTTAAAAGATTAAAATTGTGTCGAAATGAGCGTACATTTTTTTTGTCATTTACAACCTGAGACTAGATCTACATATCAAAAGATGGAATTTCATGTAACAGATTAATTTTTAAAAGTCACCAAGAATGAAGAAGAATAGGAGGGGCAGACCACAAAAGAGCCACTATCAACCACTCGTGGTACAGCAGTGTTCCTTCACCTATCTGTCATTAAATGAAAAAACCAAAAAAAAAGCAAATGATCATTTCGTGAAATTTATTCTTTTTCATCACCTTTTAAGCAAACATTCATTATAAACAACTTCAAATTAAGGTCAGCCACTGCAAACTTCTCACACTTTGTAGACTTTGCAGTCATTCCACTCATCGCTATGTACACATTTTCTCATTCACAACACATGTATTCATAGCAATGTACATATGTAAATCAATGCCAGCCATATTATTATTAATATTATTCATAGAATAGTGCCTTCTGAAATATGTGCAGGAGTAGGAGAAGAAAAAAAAGAACACCCCCAACAAAATTAAAGTCGAGCCCCGCACATTCTTATAAAGTCAATTTATACTTATATTTAGTGTCAAGCACTAGAGGGAACATTAATGGTTTCAATTCACACAATCAAATCCTGAGACCGGCCCAAGTGATATTTCCAACTCTAAGCACCGCATTTGTTCCCCTTCTCACAAGCACACGTGCGCGCACGCGCACACACACACAAAAACAGAGCACCTGTCTACTACTAGGAGCAAGTCTTGAAATAAACAAACATGACCGACAGAAAAACCAAAGTGTATTTTTTTTAAATTAAAAAAAATGTTTCTATGTGCTACTGAGTCTTAGTTTAGTTCTACTTACTTTGCATCAAGTACGACACATTTCGTTAATAACAGATTAGGACAACAGTGACCCAACAGAAGAGAGGAAACAAAACACTCCAACGCCCACCAAGAAGCTGGGGATGCTATGTTAATGCTCCTCCCCTCTCAGCAACCAACACACATGCAAGCAAACGGGCACACACATACACAAAACTGGCTAAAAAGCAAAATAGCTGGCACCGTTCATGATTTCAAAGATGACAGCAAAATCAAAACAGAAACAAAAGTACTCATTGTCCTTAAAGATGTGTAGCAACTCGACAAAATGAGTCCTTAACTAACTCAACCGTTTCAAGATATTGGGCAATTTTCTAAATTTTCTCAGAACAGTGTGATTCTGACTTCCTTCGACAAGACTGTTGTGCTGCCACACAATTTTCTCACTTCCAGTAAAAAAAAAAAAGGCCAACAATAACAGTTCTGACTACAAAGAAGCCATCCCACACAGCATGAGGAAAAAAATTCACAGCATTATTGTATGCAAAAAGATTTTTAATTAAATTACTAGTTCAACAGACAATTTTTTTTCTCGTTCTCTCCGAAACAACAACCACAGCCAAATGAATTATGGAGAAGGAGTAAGCAAATTTCACAACGCTCACAAAGATGTGGTAAAGACTGCAATAAATATGTAGATGTGTACCATAACGCCTTTCTTGGTAATACAATTGAGCACAGATAACACCAACACAGAAAACTCGAACTTTGGGAAAGCTTGTGCAATTTGGTATTGCCCAACTGATATTATCTCTTTCATTTTTCGTTATCGTTCAACCCAAATTATGGATGTGTCAAACACATTTGTCAATTCCTGACGTGTTCAAGTTATCCATGCCCAACTGTACAGCAATGTAGCCAACTGGTAAAGTACATTACTTTTGGACATAATTTATCACTCACTGCTAAACTGCTGACCTTCCGTGGTCATGGCATATAAAAAATGCTTCTCAATGTTGAGTGTGAACTTATACAAGCATCAACATCTGGGTTTCTATACCTTCTTAAAGCTATGACAGCAAAAATTATCAAATTAAAAAAAAAGACCATTCACAATATCACATCGACAATTAATCAACACTTTTCACCCACCCTATCAACATAAAACACAAGTGCCTCACACAACCAGCACGCATTCCTCTCTCTTCCTTCAGCTTCTCTGAAGACCCAGATAGACATCAATCAATCCAAATTTTTCACCAAATTCCACGCGTGCACACAAAGAAAACATTACTGGCTCCTATACTCAAAGCCTTGCCAGGAAACTCCCTCCCTGTGTAAGGCCAAAGGTGAAGTACTGATGCACCAACAATAAAATACTTATTTTTTCTTTCCGATATACAAAATTATTAACAGGGTCAATATGGATACTGGTGACAACATGAAGGGCTCTACCACAAAACCTACTGCAAGCAAAATTAGAAATAAAAAACCCCCCAAAAAAACATCCTGGCTCCAATCTGCATTTTACAAACTAATTTTCTGCCATAAAAATTCTCTTCAAACACTTTGGCAATGGCAGAAATCTTGTCTTATCCCTGTTTTAGGAAAGCATTATCCTAAATTTTCTTAGTTAAGAAATTCTATGGTATTGAGTTTTGTGGTGGAGCCCTTCACATTCTATTATATAACACATAACAAGTGAGACTCTTGAACCGATGTAACAAGTAAAAAAGATAAATGTTCCCAAAACATG